CAAATAATATTCTGATACAAAAATCGAACTCGGAGATGTGATGACCCAAAAAAATACGGGTTTCATTTCGAGACCTAAAAAATATGTGGCTGGTCTATGTTAACCCAAAAAATATGTCAGACCTCCCCGTCATGTTACCCACCTGAGTACACCCCCTGGGCCATGCAGGAGATTCTGTTACATTGAAACTGTATTCTTTCTCATGTAAATCAGATTAGACCTAATTAAATCGTCCCTGCCTCCTGTCATGGCTGTCATCACATGATAATGTAAAGCCTAGCTGCCGTCACCATTATTACCTTGAATCATGTTTTTATAAGGTATATTTTGTGCTGGTGCCGACCTGAAAGAAAGAGCCAAGATGAGACCAGAAGAAGTAGCACCTTTTGTATCCAGTGCTCGAGGAGCTATAAATGATCTTGGTAACCTAGCCATGCCGACAATTGCAGCTCTTGATGGACATGCTATGGGTGGGGGACTGGAGTTAGCATTAGCATGTGACTTTAGGATTGCAGCCAGTAATGCCAAGATAGGACTGACTGAAACCAAACTTGCTATCATCCCTGGAGCAGGTATAGTTACACATAGTCCAGTCCCAGACTTGTTTTTAGCCTGCTCCGTTGAGCGGCTGGTTGCGGGGCAAAATGGGTCGACTAAGTTACACATTGATATATTTCTGAAGTAGATTTTTATTAATTAAGGCCTAGGGCAGACATCAAACTTTCCATGCACCGAACTCAAAAACAATGGATATCAGGTGATAATGAGGCAGCATTCTTTTATGTAATTAAGTTCGGTGCATGGAAAGTTCGACGTTTGCCCTAGGCCAAAGATCTGATTTGGATAAGTAGTGGTATACTAAATTCACACTTATCATGATTTGAGTGCCATTACAGTGGTGGAAATGGGGAAGAAATGGTCTTCCTACACCCTCTAAGTGGTTGACGATAACAAAGCATTCCTCATTAGCTTCTCTTGTTAGAACAACCAAATCGGCAACTGTTTCATTGTTATTCAAGGGATTTTGAGTCACGTGGTTACACCCCTAAAATTATATAGGACACTATATTTTCCGTAAAATGCATAAATTCTAAAAGAGGTGACATTTTTAAAATCCACTTTTATGTAAATTGGAATTCTTGAGATAAATAACGAGTAAACCTCTAAAAATGATAGACCTTTATAATGCTGATCGATACAGGTGGAACTCAACGACTTCCACGATTGGTTGGAATATCCAAAGCCAAAGAACTCATATTCACTGGCAAAGTATTGAATGGTTTGGATGCTGCAGAAGTAGGATTGGTTGACTATGGTGTCCAGCAAAATGCTGAGGGAAATGCTGCTTATGAAAAAGCACTTAGTTTGGCTGAAGAGATACTTCCACAAGGCCCAGTTGCAGTTAGAATGGCAAAGCTGGCTATAAACAAAGGAATGGAGGTAAAAAATACATGGTGTATATTCTTTCCAAATAGACCCCTTGCAGCACATCTGAATGCAGCTCAATTTGGAGGACAACAGTAGGTTTCCATTTCTCAGGAGATTGGGATTCTTTTGTTTTGTGCTCCAAATTGAGCTGCTTTGAAGTCACATGCAAGAGGTTTATAGACCTCTTTACCTTGCCTGTAATATTTTCCCATTTCAGACCACGTGTCATTCCCTTGAGAATAAGATTCTTTGTTTGAGTTGTAACCTTATTCATGTGTCTTCTAATGCACAAAATCTAGAAATGATACTCTTGGGAATATGACAAGTAGTCTGAAATGAAAAAAAACCTATAAATTCAATAACTATTCCCACAAGCTCAACAAATCAATTGTTTCAATTGTTTACTGCCCTGTAAACTTAAAATTAAATAACCTCGTAATGCTTGTAGTACTATTTAAAACAGATACTGTGTATTGTTTGTGGGACAATATCTGAATTAACAATCAACAAGATCTTAATCAATAGTGATTGGCTCACTATTGTCAGAGTCAGAATCATGGAAATGCCAAATAATAACTACAGAATATTACCATATTTATTTTTAGGTGGATTTGAATTCTGCCTTGTCAGTGGAAGAGATGTGTTATGCACAAGTCATCCCTACCAAGGACAGACTAGAAGGATTGAAGGCATTCAAAGAAAAACGGCCGCCCAAATACACTGGGCAATAATTGAAGCAGGACTTGTACTTAATATGTGAATATATTGTGATAGACATGTCAGTGGATTCTGATTGGCCCAGCGTCAATCACAGTGGAGGATCCAGGAATTTAAAAAAAGGGGGGGTGACAATGACAAAGGTTTTACCAGGTATGCAAGGAAAAGGGGGTGGCTTTCTAAGGATAATACTGAGAAATTATAGCAAAAGGGGAGTGACTAGCCACCCCCTTCATCACCCCTGGTTCCGCCCCAGCATTGGCTTTGGTTTGTTCTGTATGTTGTCCTTTTTTAATGAATGCGTCTTTTTGACCCTTTTTATAAAAGGGCATACTAATGAGTGTTCTGTGTTGGTTGGATGGGATTACAGGGACAACAATTTGGATTAAAGTGGAAGGTGAAAATAAATTCAGAAAAAAATGCCTTTATTTGTTTTTTGTTTTTTGTAAGTGAGGATAACAAAGTGTCCTCCATGACACAAGTGAATGTAAAAACCAAGCAAAAATGCAGTACAAGGTTTTGGGTATTTTTTGTGCTCCTTTGTCTTATATTTTGCTAGGTATTTCCCTTGTGGTCACTCATCAACAGACCTGCTAAATGACTTTGCATAATGTGGATGTAGGGTGTATATGACGTTTCGTGTTGTTCTGCCCAGGTAGATTTTGATGAGCAGTCCTACGTGCGTGGTGTTGGTACAACTATCTAATGAGCTCCCTCGATGAGCTCTTGCCACTTGTGGCAAATTACAAAACATGTATCTAAATAAATAAAAATATCTTAAATATGTGCAATGCATGTGTAGAGCTTTCATGTAGTTTGTTTTTGTGGGGTGGGATGGATGGGCGTTAATGCATTGTGTGGTAAAGATCTGTGAGCAGTGCAATTGTAAAGTATTGATCGTATCTATCATGTTTATCTGTATTGGGGCTTAACGCTCTGCCAGTTAGTCCCAGCACACCAAAGCATGTCTTTAATCATAAATGGTGATTAATTACAACTTATTTAACTCCGAAAATGACAAACAGATGTAAAAGAATCATTTAATTCTATCGTTTATTTGGTTTGATTTGATTAATTACAACAATATTGTCCTTACACAGCGCTTGATGTAGTCTCCTACGCAGCAGCTATTAGTGTTGTCACACCACACTCACTACTCAAGTAGCACTTAGGGGAGTAAAAGCTGCGTGAGGAAACTAATAGCAACTGCGTAGGAGACTACGCTTGATGTATCATAAATTAATTAAACCTAGGACTGTATCAGTTTATTTGTATGACAGAGGTGCTAATTTACCACTACCAAAATGCTTTTCTTCAATCTGATGTGAAGAATTTGAATAAGTATGAAAAAGATTTTGATACCCAGCTGTTTGAAAATTAAAGTCATCCCTCCGATGACCAAATATGAAAGAGATTACTTTACTTTTCAAAGTCGAGAAAAGCTACTCTGATCTAGTCTAACACTGGATGGAATTGTTATCTTGAAGATAGCCTTGGAGTAGAGTCATGCTGCCGATTATTTGCGAAATTTTCCCACAACATTGTTGCTTTGCAAGTTGAGTATTCTTACGAATTTTAGTCATACAACCTCACGCTCAACAAATGTTTTTCATTTTACAAAGTAGAAGTTATCTCTAGTCTTTGCAAAAAAAAAAAAAAATCTGTTGCGCATCCTTTGGAAATACATAAATATGGATACAACTCAAACAAAGAATTATATTCTCAGGAGAAAAACAAGTGGTCTGAAATGGAAAAAGATTACGCACAAGGTAAAGAGGTCTGTTTGATAGCTTAATTTTAAAAAATGATGTGGCCGAATAGACCATTCTCAAAGCTATTTTGAAAAAGACGCTAACAAGAAAATACCAAAAAATTTGTGCACTTTGTTTTTTATACTCCTCTTAGCCTTGCATCCGATATAGTATTGAAAAGAGTGCCTATACCTTTAACAATTACTAGTAACGAGAATGACTTCTTTTCTTACATTCATTTATGCCATGTTTTTTAAAGTTAACATTCTAGTTTCTTCTGGTCGAGCAAGGTAGAGTAAGGTTAGGCAGTAAGGTTAGGGACTCAAACCAGTGAAATCCTGGCAATTGTTTGCTGAATCAAACGTCCACGTACTTCAAAGTACCACATACAGCCAATCTATCACGGCCTATCTCCAGTACATATGTACTTTATAGTATAATATTCAATATGAATGCTATGTAAAAACAAAAAACGTATATATAACATGCATGACTTTGCTTGCCATACAAGGCTCCAAAAGTGTACGTTTTGCGCGTATTTTCTCGTTCCCAAACCTTGCGCCCCATGTACGGGAATCTGGAATCCGGAATCCACGAAAGTTTAGGCTTTGGAATCCGGAATCCAGCACTCTGGAATCCGGAACCCAGTTTATAATAGAATCCGGAATTCAGTTTATGATGGAATCCGGAATCCACCCTTTTGGAATCCAGAATCCGCACCAAAAGTTTTGGAATCCGGAATCCTGAGTCTCGGTATCCGGAATCCAGCGCTTGGAATCCGGAATCCACCATAGTTTCGGATTCCCTTACATGGGACGAAACCTTGCGCTTTCTTTAGATTTGCGCAGCCACGAAAAGAGACAAGGCCGAAGTCAAGGATGACTGGTTAATGATCGTTTTCTTCATTCAATCCCACAATTCCATTCTGAGAATTAGTTAGTTTTACATTTTTGAAGTTCAAAATATATTGAAACCAATGGCATTTCCGAAAATCTCTTCTTTGTAAAGAACCTGGAGAAGCGCAGGACATGGGAACGAGAAAGCGTTAATGTCCGCGTTACTGCCTAGCAGCAACATACCGACGAAAAGTATGGATTCGCACATCCGGGTATTTAGAAAAAAGTTTGGGGGAGGGGACCCATAGTCCAGTGAAAATACCTGCTCTGCATTTCATCCAAACGACATGGCATAAAATAGAAAATGACAATTACGTAATATTGTTTCTACTATATTCCCTTCCGTTCTCAATCACCATAGAAAGAAAGACCACCGCGTATTTGAATCAATTATCTGCATTAAATCATCTATGTGTTGGGGAGCTCCAAAAGACACTTACTAAACGCTGCTCCTTCTTAAAAATGTATTTTTTGTTTTTTGAAACTATCCTATTTAATTTTGTGAGCCGTGAACTTATGCATCTACTTCCGGTTTCCGCGTGACGTCATGGCCGACATGTTGGACACAGACTACGAGCATGCGCAGACTTTTCCATGCGTGTCATCGACTTTACAGCTTTAATTCTAGTCTCTCGCGGTTTGTAGTCACGTGCCGAATTTATGTGCGTTACCCACGCTAATGAGTTATTAGGATCTTATTAAGATCTTACAGTGCGACTATATTAACCATTGCCACCCAAACAAATTTCAAATAAAATTCACAAATCACATTTTTAACGCTGCATAATAGATGAATTGATGATTTCTGAGTTTAAACTGTTTTTTTTTTTTTGTTCACTCCTGATCATACACACACTCGTATAAAGTATAATATATGCTTTTATTATATAATTACCAATGAAATATCTATTTTTCTCTATTTCGAAAAATTGATAT